ACTTAATTTTAAAAAAAGAAAAAAAATCTTCCAGAGAAAAAAAGCCAAAAATGATCGGGGGAAAAAAAAATGAAAAATAAAATCAAATAATAATATTTTGAAAAAAAAAAAAAAAATTTCTGTTTCAAATAACTAACCAAATAGCAAAATGATTGAATGATTGAAAGAAACATTATAACATTTTTGCAGTTCAATAAACGCCAACCTTCTTCGTTGTCGAAATTTTCATAGCTATCTGCTCGAGAATTCTCCGCGATCGATCTTCGAACAGAGCCACCAATAGCGCCACTAGCAGTCATAACCATCATCATCCTATCCATGCAATCACCACCATTACTGCTACTTTTTGGCAATTCGATTAAAAAGATAAATTCAATCATTGCTTGTGAATTCACTTCAGAATCTGCAAAAATTTTACAACTTCTATTTCCATCATTTTATTGCAACAAATTAATTATTAATGGAGCAAAAGATATTAAATCGATTATCATATTGAAGTTAAAAATTTTTTGCTATCATAAATTTAATGATATTATATTTTGAGCAAAAAAAAAAAAAATGAAGATTGAAATTGAAAAGATTAATTAATTATTTGAAAATATTTTTGCAGCTATCATATTTATATGTTAATTTAATTTCTTTCCGGAAAAAAAAAATTGTAATTTTAATGTATGTGTCGTTTCCGTTTAAGTTATTTTCTCATTTGGCCAATTTTGGTAATATAAATTGGTTAACATTTTGTTTAATTGATATTCTTTTGGTTTATTTAAAGTTTCCCATTGATATGAATGGAAATTTAAAAATCTATCATTTAATTGGAATTCATAATTTTTTTTTTCTTTTTGCATCTGATTGAAATAATTTTACGAAAGCGTTAAAGATGACAAGAATTTTTAAATTAATTTTTAATTTGTCAATTTTTCAGCATTAATCAAAAAGATTAGAAGATATTCGTTAAAATTAAAATCGAATTTTAATAATATGTGTAATTTTTTTTCAATTATAGAAAAAAAAGAGAAGTATGAATGATGGATGTCAGACATTAAAAATAATTTTCAGGCCTGTAATTTTAAAAAATGATAACCAAATGTTTGAAATAGAGAACTCTCTTTCAAAATGCCTATTATTATTATTTTACAAATTTCAAAACTAAAATTACAAATTTTTCGTTTTCAAAACAAAAAAATAAATCTTTAAAAAAAATTTTTATTCTTAGCAAAAAAAAAAAACGAATAATGAATAGGAAATTAGTGAAAAAAAAACCGTACATTTTTTTCAACAAAATAATTTAATTTAATTTAATTGTTTACCATTAAAGATGTTATCCAATTCTTCGCGATAAAATCGTAATTTATAAGTGTTTTCATTATGAGCTGATAAATCAAACGTGCAAGTGTTAAATTGGCAACGGAAAAATAGCGCACGTTCAGCAGTACTCGTACGTTGAAAACATTTCACCAAAATATCACCACGTAATGGTAAATTATCCAATTCAAATGTATTATTTTCAGCTATAACCCTATAAATATATTATTATATATTATCATAAAATAAATTGTAATATATTGTCATAAATTTTATCATTTATGATAATTTAAATTTAATAATTTAGCTTATAATTTAATTGAGTCAGACGATATTTACATTTCAAATTGAATACTGTAAACAAAAAAAAAAGAGTAAAAATTATATCTCAAATGAGTTTAGCAATTATATTCATTCTCATTATCTCTCCAAAAATCTCTCCCGCAAAAAAATCACAATTGAACTTCGGGTGCAAAAAAAAAAAAAGGAACGAAAAATCAGAAAACATACTTGAGTGATGTTGTATGCACCGGTTGCATGCGTTCATATATTTTGAATAAAATATTTCGATCAAAAAAATTCGTCAATATGATATTATGCAAATAAACGGTTGCCGGTTGAATTTTTGCTCGTCCACAAAGAAGTGATGAAAAATATTTTACATATCTGAAATTATGATGAATAAACTTTATAGGTTTATTTAATTCTTTCAAGTTACACGTTATATTATTTTTAAAGCACGTCATTTTAAATTATCATTATATGCTATATTAAACTTCATCTCATTCAATGAATTCTTTAAAAATTTTCATAAAATCTTATTGATAAGTATTATTAATTAATAGTTTTTTTTTTCCTGATCATTTCATTTAGCACATCATCAATGGATCGATGTTAAATTAAG